TGGTTCCCAGGGAGCAGATGTGGGGAGCTGTGAGCAGTGGATGCCCATCACTGGGCCATTGCACAACCCTCCTCTCCAGGCAATCCCTGCTGGTGACCAAGGACCAAAGGTGAGCACCAGGGACCAGACCCAGGGATGCATCCACCCAAGCAGACACAGGAGCCATGTTCTGAGGACAGGTCCTGGGGAACCTCACCATACCCCCATGGGGCACCGACCATATGAGCCCACAGCCAGCTGGCAGCCAGGGTGCTGAGCCCAGTCTCAGCCCCAACGGGGTGACCAGCCAGCATGGAGCAGGTGGGGGGCTTGGGGACACAGTCCTCCGGGCACTTACCTCGCACTTTTTCCCTGTTGTGGCTGAGCCAGCGCCAGAGGGGCAGGATGCTGCAGCTGCACACCCAGGGGTTGTCCTGCAGGAGAAGGGCTCGGAGCTGAGGCAGGGCACGCAGCACTTCGGGCTCCAGCTCCCTCAGCCTGTTGCTGCCCAGGTTGAGCTTGGCCAGGTTGGTGAGGGGCAGGAAGGTTTCAGTGCTGAGTACGGTGAGGTAGTTGTTGCTGAGATCCAGCTCCTGCAGTGCCCCGAGCCCCACCAGCGCCTGGCTGTGGATCAGCTCCAGGTGGTTGTGGGGCAGGCTGAGCAGCAGCAGTCCCGGCAAGGGAGGGAAGGAGCGCGGTCCCGGCACTGTGATGAAGTTGTAGCCAAGCCACAGGGTGCTGGTGTTGGCCGACAGGCTCTGCGGCACCTCTCTGAGGCCATGCTCGCTGCAGTCCACCTCCCCCGAGGAGCAGCGGCAGGCGGCAGGGCAGGCTGGCGAGGGCAGTGGGTGCAGGAGAAGCAGGCAGACCAGTACGGTGCTGGGGCCCCTCCAGCAGCCCATGGTAGCCTAGGGCTCCCCAACCTCCGGTGCTGGGATTCCCCCACAGGCAGGATCCCCGGGGCACGTTGCCTTGGCCAGACACCTGCTGGGGTGAGCCGGGGGGTGACGAGCAGGGGTGCCGGGCGGTGCCTGTCCGCAAAGGGAGTGGGTGGACTTGCAGCCGTGCGCATTCCCCCCTGCACCACTTGCTGCCACCCTCTGTCTGCAAACCTGGAGCAGGCTGTGCTCCCAGCCCCAGTCTTCCTTGGGGTGGAGCTGCACTTTTTTCAGCAAATATTTTTGCAGTGATGCCTGCCCTGGCAAGGTGTGGAGCCATGCCCTCGTCCCTCCCTCTGCCAGGCACTGCTCCAGCCAGGTAAGCAGCCAGCTCTGCATGGCATGGGATTAACTGCTTGTGTGCGCTGCAGGCTGGAGAGCTGGAAAAAAGCAAAACCAGGTCCATCTCTTGGCCTCTGTCTTCCCCATGGGTGTGCTGCCTCACTAGCCATGTACAGAGGGGTGTATGGACACAGGACTCCCATAGCTGGCTGGGGTGGGACAAAGCTTAAATCGTACATCGGCAGGTCTAACTGTCTTCTGTGCTGGCCCACCATGCCCAGAGATCCTCAGTGGGGAGCTCTGCTGGGAGCCACAGGCCAGCCCTCTGAGACCAGCTTGTGGCCGGGCTCTGTTTGCCCGTGGCAGGGGACCACAAGCCATGCCAAAATGAGGAGGGTTGGGATGTGAGTCCCACGAGCCACCCTCCTCCTCCTCGGCAGAATCACACAGCTGCTTGCATGCTGGGGGACACTCAGGAGCCCCCACACGAGAAGGTATGGGAAAGGTGAGCTTGCTGGGCTACAGCCGCCCAAAACTTGTTTACCCTCGCCCCGGCACAGCAGCACCGGTACGAGAGGGCTCAAAGTCTGCCTCCACCCTGTTTACACCTGCTCCTGTTTCAAAGCTGCCCGAAGCTCTGCAGCAGAAGGCTGGAGAGGAGTCACCACCCAGTGCCCACCATCCCTAGCAGAACTCAGCAGACATGGCCAGCAGCACCTCATCCCACCCGCAGCATGGAGGGGGGGCCTGGAGCAGAGACACCGTCCTCCACTCACACTCTTGCAGCAGCTTTGGGACCCTGGCGGTCACAGTTCTGGAAGAATCCCTGGCACCTCTGTCCCACAAAGGGCAGGAAGGGCAGCAGGGCAGCACGTGGCTGCACCCCACACCAGGACCAGGATGTTCCCAAATCTGAGGCAGAAGCAGCAGGCAGACCAGTTTATTAATAGCACCCAGAGCAGCTTTGGTTTGTTTATCTATCCTGCAGCAAACCGAGTTTGCTGCATTAATCCCCATCTGGAAATAATTCAGAGGAATCCTCCAGCCCAGCCCAGCCCAGCCCAGCCCAGCCCCGAAGCAGGGCACAAACCCACAGCTGCATGGGGCTGCAGCACCAGTTCATCCCACCAGCAACTGCGGGCTATATGGGGATATGAATTTTTAGGGACCCCTGTCCCAAAACAGTCTTCCTCCCCAGGTGTTGCATTCCCCACTGCCTGCAGCCATCTGGGATCAGGTGAGAAGTTCAAAATTAATTGGAAAAAACCCCAAAACTATTAAAAGCAAGTCCATTTCCAGCTTTTGTGCTCAGAGAGCCCAGGAGGCTGTGAACCCATCTCAGCTCCTCTGCAAACCCCTCGCTGCCAGCCTGCTGCACACCCCCATGGCACATGGCAAGAGAGATGTCCCCAGTGTCCTACCTGCCAGGGACACTGCCCAAGCGCAGGACTGGTGCTTGTTGTGCCTGGCCCCACTCCTGTTTTGCATGCATTGGCTGCACGCCACTGCAATCCCTGGCTGGTGATCCTTTGAGGTCCTGAACCCCAGCAGAGCCTCCACCGTCCCTTCACACACGCTGCCAGTGCTCGGCAGAGTGTGCATCCCTCTCACTGTCCCCTTCTCTGGAACGGGGCACCCAGCACCCTGCAGGAGAGCCCAGGTCCCCATCCCCCACCAGGGCTGCACCCACTGGTGCCCCGCTCCCCCGCCGTGATGCCTCCTCCTGTTTTGGGCTCCCGATGGAACAACACAGCCTGACCCCAGGCCAGCACTGAGAGAGGCTGCTCCAAGCATCCGCTGTGCAAGGACAGCTTAGGGGGCCTGTGCTGACCCATGGAGTCCGCCAAGGCACAGGGCTCAACACCAGCCCTTCTCTGCCCAAGGGGTGTAAATCGCGGTGCCCAGCCAAGCACATCACGACCGTTCCTGCAATGAGGTGATGGAGGGGCAGATAAACTCCTTCAGAGACCAGCCACTAGCTGGGAGCAGCAGGAACACGAGCAGAGGAACACTGCAAGGGCCAAGCTTCACAGCTTGGTTCTGGTGCTGGGGTATGTGTTGGAGCAGGGGTGGGAGCATGGAGGCAAGAACCGGGAGCGAGGGACAGGGAGCCATGGGTCTTTGTCACCCTCCACTGTTGGAAAGGTGGGGCCCGAGAAGCCGGGCTGAGCACAGAGACCTGCTGGCATCTTTGTATGGAGCTGTGCCCGGGGGAGGGATGGGCCCTTCCCAAACCCTTCCCACCACGCACCGTGGAGTATTTGGGGAGAGATGAAGGGGAATGGGCTTTAAGACTCTGTGTCAGCTTTTATGCCTTTTATCTTTGAATGCTTTAATTTATTTCACGCTTCCATGTAATTAAAGATCCAAGACAGGCAGGTACCTACCCCATGGAGTCCCTGAACCACACCACACTTCTGCTGTCCCCCCTAGGCACCTCTGCCCTGAAGCATCCCTGGTGGCCCTGCTCCCATGGCAGGAGCTCCCCGGGGTTGAGCTCTGCTGGGAACATCTCAGCTCTGACTTTTTTTACGGCAGGTGACACCAAGTGGCAGAATTGTGCATGGGCACTATGAATGGTGTGGGTGCTGTGTATGGTGTGGGTGCTCAGCATGGGGTGGGTGCTGTGCATGGGGTGGGTGCTGGACTCCAGCTGCAGTGCTGGCACCCAGCGCAGAGGACAGCCAGGCACCAGGACTGCCCAGGGTGCACGAGGTCACTGCTGGCCCCAGGGAGCTGCAGGCTGGGGTCCCCTGCTGAGCCCCAAGGGGCAGCCAGTGGTGCCTGATGCTGGGATACTGCAGGAGCTCGTAAACCACATGGAAAATGGATGCAGAAAATGGGCTCTGAGGTAGTAGGACCACAAAAGCTGCCCATGCAACTCCAAGCCCTGCCCAAGAACTATATCAGTATCACTCTGCTGCACCCCAGTCCTCCCCGTTTGGCCTCTGTTAAACCCACTGCCAGCTGTTTGGGCTCTCGTCCTTGCACCCCCTGTTTGGAGTCAGGCAGGGAAAGCCATGCAAAGAGATGACCTGGAAAAACAGCCGAGGGACTTCTCTCCGGGCCGCATGCAGGTGTGCAGGCAGGGAGGTGGGGAGAGGGTCAGGCAGGAAAACCAAACCTGGCACAAGCCATGGAGCACCAGGCCAAGCAGGAGCTCCCATGGGCTCTGTCATCCTCGATTTCAACTGTCCAGCTACCCCAACACCCAAATTTCTCATGCAAACAGTAAACAAAGCAAACACTCAAAGGAAAGAAATGTGGCAGGGCAGGTCATTTCTCCC